CATCTTCAAACTTTAGTTTCACACAGAACTACATAAGTATGTCCACTTTTCATAAGTATAGTTGATTATATGATAAATTGTATATCTTTGTGATAAATTATCTCAGCTTTATGACATACTCCACCTTTCTATAAAAATCTGAACTACAGAACACTTGTAGAGAACCACTAGGGATTTTTTTATTTACTTATTTTAAATTAAAAGTAACAGGGAGGCACTACTTCTTTCTCTTTTCAAATCCATACATTTTTTTCTCAGAAAAAAATGACTTCCTAGTATACAGGATGAGCAGGACTCACAAAACTCTTTTTTATATCTAAAATGTCAGAAGTTAAGTCCATTTCTTAGATGACATGTAAGGCTAGAAATTAGAGTTTTATGCTGCTGGAAAGGATCAGTTTCCCAATTTCTAACTTTGGAGTATCCCAAGATACTAGATGTTAATGTCATGACATTTTAGATATAGAGAAACTCTTTAAAGCTATATTTAGAAGTTTCAAAGGCTTCCTCTGAAACCTGCACACAATTGGACCTACAGCAACCAAGGGATCTAAATTCATATCAACATTTCAAGAGATAATCCATAAACATGCTTTAATGCTTTGAAATGCACCTAAAATAATTTCTAATGTGTGGCACTTACAGAAAATATGATGATGTGATTATACATTAAAGGTTTTACTACCATAAATGTAGGTCATCCAGAACAAATACAACTGATGGCGCAGACTTTTGGGAAAGGTAGCCTAAAGTGAAAATTTCAATCCAAGCTGAGAGAGGCAAAGAGTAAGTCAGCTTTTTATGTATTTATTTAGTAACTCCACAAAAGAAATATTTCTTGTTGAAGATATTGCTTTTTTTATTCCAAAGCTCATATTAGAAAAAGCCATTTGCACCCCAAATGTAAATTCTTCAGTCCTTTCTTCATCATTAGGAGTTCTACGGAACAAAATAATTGTTATTTAAAGACAAACAAAGCCAAGGTTTTCTGATTTACAGTTTCATGAGGTAACACATTTATTATATAACTTTTCTTACTTTCTTCTGTTATTTATATTTAAACACTTAAAAATGTATTCAAGAATATGTATTAAACTTGAAAGAGGAATATAAATGTTTTCATAATGTAAATGCTGCTATTGTATCCTTTCATTTATAAATGTATTTATAAAGTCCACTGGAGCTTGATTTTATTTAACAAATATTTCTCATCATCCTCACTACTTATATCCTACCCATCAACTAGTTATGAAAGAATCTAAAGTCATAATCAAGATGAGAAATAAGAAAATAAGAAAAGTTTTACACTTCTTCTGGTTATCGACAAGGGAAATACACTAACATCAGATTCTTCTTTATTCTTCTCCTTGTTTTTGTAGGACAATCATTTATACATTTGTCACCATTGATAGAAATAAAGAAACAAATATAACCTTATGGATTTCCCTTAAGCTAACATTATTTCAATGTGATTAACTCCTATCATGAAACATTTGTTATAAGCTTCAAGTGGTTTCTTTATGAATTAAAGAGCAAACCGTTGCCAAATACCCCTCTTTATTACCCCAATGCAAGCAAAGATGTTTTACAGGTACAAGGCTAAGAATACCAATTAGCTTGAAAAATGTATCAAGTAAATCTCTTTTCCTTCTTTTCTTTTGCATATATTATAAGATCATCCATATACAAGTCCCTCATAAAATATATGCTATGTCATAAGTGTTATTACTGAGCAGAAAGCTGAAATTTTAGGAAGAACGCTTCCCAGAAAGACAACAATGTAAAGATTGTCTTAGAAAGCACTGCAAAACTAGATGTTCACACACAGCCAGTTTTCTCATAAATGAGGTTAATCTGTGTTAACAAATTGTCAAAGAACCTGTCATATTCTATTGTCTTTCGAAGTACAAAAATGTTAAACAGATTACAAGAGTGAAATAATACCCCAAAGAAATCACATGCAGTGAAGAAAATCAGTTGGTTTGTAGCTTCTTATTTTGAAATTACACTTACATCTGATTCTAAGGAGCATTTGTTTGCTTAAGTGTGTCTTATATTGGAGAATACTAGTTTTCATTTTCATAATATTTTCCTTAAAATTGTTGTAATAATGGCAGTAGTTATGGGGAATGCTTATGCAAGATCAAATATTTCACTACATCATAAACTTTAATTAGTGAGTTGATCCTCTTCCCTCCCTGAATTTTTAATGAAGTAAAATATTAAGTTTCACATATTTGTGAAAACAAATCCAGAGTACAATGGATAAGAAATGTTATTTTAATGCAACTTTCTACAATGATAAAAAGTATATAAACTTGCACTGGAAATGTTCAAGAAAGATTTTGTTTGTGCTGTATCTACTACATGGTTAGGGCAGTTATTTATGCTACATTTGCAGTTTTAGACTGTACACTTAAGAAACTTTAGGATATTTATATTTAGGAAATTATCACTGAAAACATAGGTTTGAAGTGTCATTTGAAGTATCATTCTTAGTTTATAAACTAGAATTTAGACTATCACAACACAAGGCAAGTTCCAGTCTTGCACTGCTTTCTATATGGTTTTTAGAATATTTTTTTTTATTTCCTAGGACTAAAGTTAGCACAGAAACATAAGACAAATATTGTCAATCAAAAGTTTGATATTAATATAACATACTGGATAAATAGGTGGATTTTTTTCCTTTAAAACACTTCTAAATTGATTCTTTGTAGCCAACTTAAGTACTGCTTGCTGAAATCACACTGTATTTGCCTTTGTATCATTGAAAGCAAACAGCCTTCTTTACTGTGTAAAGTTAATAAGTCCAATTAATGAGTCTCCAATACATGGGAGGAGAGACAGGAGAAAATAACAATGAATTCATTTGTGTTACCTCAGGGAAGAATTATCTTATCATGCCTTTAAACTCCAGTTCTCTCTGATAAATACATTAGCCCATATATCAGTTTAGTTCTAATATGCTAAACAGACTTCTGAAAAGTTTAATTAAAAGTTCAGTGTCCTTTCAAGACTGAGTCTTCTCGTGTTCCATGTATCAAAAAAGTCTACAAAAATCACTGTCTCTACTTGTTAGTATTCTTTAGAGTGACTTGTATAATTCCACATGCCCAGGGTTGATTCTTGTCATTTCCTATGATTGTAAACACCTTGGACTCTCATTGTTTTCAGGACTTTAAATTTTTTTCAAGAGTCAGACAGAGAGAGAAACATATACATACAACTACATGGACTATTTATCTAGACAATTAAATTCAAAGTGTGAATTTAAAACACTGTGGTTGCATTTGCATGACTCTGGCTTATTTAACTTTTTCTAAATGATGTGTATATATATATTTATGTATATATATAAACATATAAAAATATAGGCATGTATATATGCATGTACATATATATGCAAATATGCATATATATTTATATGCATACATATGTATGTGTATGCATACATATAAAAATTTCCAGGTATGTTGGAAGTGGATTAACCAAATCCAAAGAATTATTCTTATTTTGGAACAGGAAACTCTATACATATATTTATACTAGTCTACTTCAGTTTAGTATGCCACTACCATTTTACCAACACAACACCAAAAAATCTATGGAAACGGATCCTAATGATGCAGCTTTAACTGGAATATTTCTAAATGGTTGAGATAACACTCATGAAAAAAAAAAAAAAGCAACAACAAAAAAACAAACAAAACAATAATCAAGTAATCCTTCAGTGTGTTTCCAATTGAAAAATGTAGCCTCTGGAGTAAAGTTTTAAAATTATGATTCACAGATACAAACATATTTACTGGATGACTAAATTCAAACATGCCTATTATTCACAATGTACATATCCTTTGACTTTTATGTCCTGAGTCACTTCATCTGTTTACCAACAAAAAGCTGAACTGACTGCCTCTCTTTCTTTATATATAAATACATTTAAATATAGCCCATATATAACCTTAAACATGGACTTATCCTGAAAAAAAAAATCTCTAAACTGTTCTTGTTTTCATTTTTTGCATTAAACATGAAAAGCATAAGTATTTGAAATCCAGATTTTTTTTTTGTTGTTTATTATTATCTCAAAACCTTCAAATTAGAAAATATATTTCACAGAAATGATTAGCTCTTATTCTGCTTTAGCACTTGAAAGGTTACAGCAATAGGAAAAGAAAGAGCTTTAATTAAAGAATGAATTACCAAATACTCAATTTTAATTGATGTAGCTCTCTGCTATTATTTTGTGTGTTTATAGATATTCTATGTGATTCTATAATCAAGATGACACAGACAGACAAAAAGCAAGACTTTAACCAGTAAGGCTAAAGAAGGAAGAGCTGCTGTAAGATCACATTCAGCCATTTAAGTTCAAGAATCATGTGAAGTGTGGTTTCCATGACAACAAGTCACTAATTGCTAACATAAAGTAAAAATCAACCTTGACGGAATTTGGCAGTGACATAGAAGCTGGGAAGAAAAAAAATAAAAATAAATAAATAAATAATAAATAAATAAATAAATAAACACTTCAAAATAATTATAGGACAATTTTCCAAGTAACTCCATATTCTGAGAAAGGATGAAAGCACCTGGAGTTCCAGGGTTATTTCAGATTTGGCAAAGCTGGCTGTATACACTAGTCATTGCGTATTGATAGTCAACACCTACCTTCAGCAACAGATAAGGAAAGATGTTTGCGATGAGGTGATGAAGGATTTTTGCATGCTTGGGCTACAGATCAGCAAAGGAAAATGCTGTAGAGAATGCATGAAGTAAAGAAAAGACACAAATAATAGGATTTTAACATAAAGTCATGGGGTAGGAAGAAAAACAAATTAAAGGAGAACAGAGGGTAAGAAAGGGGCTAAACTCAGACATGCCTCCCATTCTAACTTATTAGTAAGGGTTTCAGACACCTCTAGCTTGCAGATAAAGAATCTTTTGAGACTAGAAGAAACTATCCGGGAAACACAATGGTACCATTCAAAATTTACCGATTTATGAACTGCTGCATATCATTTGTAAAAATTGCTTCAGCCTGCGTTACCTTTCACCAGCTCTGTAAGTCGACTCACTGGGTCACTAGGAGTGAACAAGAACATTTTGATAAATTCAGTTTCCATGACAATGAATTAGCCATGGAAAAGGGGGAGGTGTTGAAAGATCTGTGTTCTGTAGAATACTCTTCAAATGTTTGCCTGTTTTCATTTTTAGCCATTTAGTTCTCATGGCTCTGTTCCAGGACTCTTTAATTTGCCAGTAGCTGTTTTTCCTCTACAGATTAGAGGAGTAATTCATCAGTGGATGTTTCACTCAGTGGTCCCATCTAACGTAAGAGAACATAAAAATGATTTTTTCCAATTATGCTTTTTGTTTGCTTAGAAAGAATGCAGCAGGCTCTCTTTTGTTGTTCCACTACAACCTCGCTACAGAATGCTTAATCTTTCTAATTTATTGCCCAGTACTACACTTATGAGTACAATTGTACCTTGCAAGACATTGGGAGTTCATTTTAAATACCAGTGAGCCCCCAAAACAAAACAAAACAATGATTTGGAGTTTTCTTCCACAGGAACAAGACAATAAAAGAATGTCACATTCCAAAGGTTGGTATAGTTTGCATCAATGGGAACTACTGAGAAAAAGAACTGAGAAAACAATTGCTATTTATTTTTGATAGAACAGCATACAATTATTTTTCACTTGTCTGACTTAGAAAGGCAAAGCCAATAGGACATTTTTTAGTGCCAGAATGGAAGGCTACTTAAATTGGTGAATTCTTTTTTGTCACTTTGCCACTTTCCACATTTGCCACTTTGCCACTTTTTAAGGGTCTTGGATGAGACATTTATACTAATGAGATGAAGAGTAGAGGTGTATAACCATTCATAAAAACATACTTAAAATTCAGAGTAAGATGAGGGAGATCAGAACCATTTACAATGATTATTGGGATAGATAGGTTGCCACCCAGAGACAACTGAGAAAGATTTGGCTCCTTCAGAAAGTAAACCTGTTTTTGTATCTCCAGCAATATGCTCCTCATTGCCATTAATAAAAATTTAGAGGTCTGAACATCTTGCTTCCACTCTCTGTCTGCTTAACGGCATCATTTTGTGTGATGTTCAAGAAAATGAAGGTTTTTTTTGTGTGAAGTTGTTAGTTATTGTGCCAGCCCAGCATGGACTGAAGTGCCTGAATGGGAAGGGGAAAGGGAAGGGGAAAGGGGAAGGGGAAGGGGAAGGGGAAGGGGAAGGGGAAGGGGAAGGGGAAGGGGAAGGGGAAGGGGAAGGGAAGGGAAGGGAAGGGAAGGGAGGAAGGGAAAGGGAAAGGGAAAGGGAAAGGGAAAGGGAAAGGGAAAGGGAAAGGGAAAGGGAAAGGGAAAGGGAAAGGGAAAGGGAAAGGGAAAGGGAAAGGGAAAGGGAAAGGGAAGATAACACTTGTACTTCTGAAAAATATTTTTCTGTTTCAGTAAGATAAAAAAAAATCATAGTCACTCACATACATTGTTTTCTGACTTTCTCCATAGGTATTCACATAAACGTGTTCACTGACAGATAAACCCATATTTTCACTCACAGTCATTCAGTCATACATGCTCTCATAGACACAAAGAAGGAGGATACTAATTTAAAACCATATTGCAGTCAAGGCATCTATCTTATCTTAAAAACTTCAAATACATATATATATATAAAAAAAAAAAAAAAAACAAAAAAAAAAAACACTAATTTTCCAAGATGCAAATGTCATTAATACTAGCCTATTGTGAAAATACTGCAGAGCTGGAAATCAAAGTAACCATTTTAGTCAATGAGATTTAGTTGTTCTGAAGCAGCCATTCACAAAAGAAAAATAAGGGGAAGGAAAGATGAATTTGAGTTGATTGAAATTCAGTAAATCAGTAGCCTTGAGTCTCTCAGTCTTGATTTAAAATAGCAGGGGCAGTTGCCGTCAAGCACTTGAGTGCATGTGGACAAGAATAAGCCTAATGACTTCTTTTGTTCATCTGCCATGTGGAACTATTTCAACATTCTTATCTAGGATGTGAGCGAGGTGTGCTAATAGCTCCACACTTCCACTCCTGGAACTGAGGAACGAATGTAGGTAGCAGTGCACTCAAGTCCCATTGATATTAATGGTGTGAGATCACTCAGCCTGCTCCTTTCAGTGAAATGTACTTAAATGCCCACTGCAAGAAACAAATGTCGGATGCTTCTTCAGTCTATCCATGACCTTCAGCTGGCACCAGACACTGCTGCACGTCTTGTCTTGTTAACATTTTCACAGGTGAGAGATGGATAAACAACCATTTTCTCAAACCTGTAGATTGTTAATAAGTGTCACAAAATACACACCGGAGCTCAGGTGCAGATCATTAAAAAAGAAGCAAGAATGAGAGGAATAATGACATGTCAATCCACCTTAAGCCAAGCTTGACACCCCCGTGATACTTGTTAGCACCACGCACAGGGAATTCTGCCTTCTGTTCTGTTCTTGAACCAGGAATACAGCAGTGGAACTTATTTCCAGATGCTTTTGGTTAAACTTTGAGCCCTTACTCAAATTAAGGAAGAAAATAAGAATATTCAAACATAAAAATTCTTTTTTTTTTTTTCCTAATAAAGGTTTAAATGATCTAGTCAAGCACTGTGAACTTTAACTAATAGTTTCATGCTACAGTAATGGCACCTATTATTTGAATTCATTTCCCATACTGACAGCACAACTCAGGCATACTCCAGACTATGACATTTTAAATGACTGGTGATTTTCAGTTGTGCTTTCTAGTGTATGCATATATGAACTACAGAGTGGAATATTTGCATCTGTGTGTACACAAAAGCTTCTGTGTTTTTTCTTCTGCTGATATATAGGAACATATATAAAAAACATACATCATCCTTGAAATATATGTGTTTTCCCACACTAACTTTAATAAAAAAGGGAAAATACTTCAGATACATAATAAAATTTCATAAGTTTTAATTGTTTCAGTCAAGACCCTGCTATTCCAGCATTTATCTGTGGTGGTTTTACTTGGGTGGGCAGCCACCATGGCTGTTCTCTCACTCCTCATCCTCAAGGAGGAAGGGGGAGAAAATGTGACACAAAGGACTCAAGGTTTAAGATAAAGATGATTTATTGAAAGGAAAATGGAAGACAGGGAAAATAAAAAAAAAAAAAAAAAAAAACTGAAAAAAAAAAAGTACTCTGTACTTCCCATCAATGAGCAATGTTCAGCCACATCCTGGGAAGCAGGGCCTCAATACACATAGTGGTTGTTCGAGAGGACAGACACTTCCACGAGAGTTCCCCTTCCCCCTTTCTCCTTTCTCACCTTTTATTGCTGAGTGTAACATTATCCTCATTGCTTTATTTCACAATACAATGATATGAAATGTAAGAAATAAATAGAAATTTTAAATGTGATATTGAGCAGAAAATTAGTCAAACACACATTTTTAAAGGATCTCTCATCTCTCACAGGATCTGTCATAGCTACCACATGCAGATGTCATTCTGTTTGTATGTGGTGTTTCTTACACATAAAAATGAACCACTGACTTCCCACTCCAATGCATTAGAAGCAGATGTAATCACAATTTGGAAAACTCTACCTCTGAATAGGTAACTTCTGCTGAGCTACTTCTTAAGCAGGGATACTTGAGGTGCACAGAACAGGAATCTGATCATTCACAGAAAAATATGGTAGAAAAGTACCTCTTATTTTTTCTCTCTTCTCAGCTCACAAATAAGTAGTGGAAGATTTTGTTTCAAACTAGTGTAATATTAGGTAAAAAGCCCAAATTTTTCTAGGTTTCTCCACACAGTTTGGTAATCCAGTCCTATATGAGGCAAAACTTGACTTCAACTTGTGTTATGTGATTTTTCATATTTTCTTGACAGAATTACTTATCTATGATCTGCTATCTTCAGGTTAATTTCAGTTAAGGGATAAATTCTGCAATTCACAAGTTGGCAGTATGTTTCTACTGAATTTAGCATGGGAATTCATGTTAATACATGAGTGTTACCACTGACTTGAAGCTGACCTAGCAACCAACTCATAAACATAACAACAGAATGGAGACCAAGTAGCTCTTTGAAATGGCATACCTACAGATTTAAGAATTGATCCCTTTTATTTTTTATGATTTTTGCAACAATAATAATTATAATAATAATAAATACCTCTAAATATTTTAAATAAAATATTTGCCTCAAAAATACACATTTGCAGACACTGCAATTTTAAGAAAACCTCCATGCATCAAAAGGTGAATTACTATTTTTCATCTGGGCTTTTTTCAGTCATTATATGGAAATAAATTAGAAAATGTAAATATATTTTCCACTTCTCTATTACGTCTGTTAGGAAATCCTATATACTCTTTGCACAGTCCTGGGGTGTTTTGTTATTGTTATTTCTTTTTTTGTTATTATTGTTTGTTATTTTTGTTTTTGTTTTGCTTTGAAAATTAAGGAAAGTTCCTGGGAAACCATTGCTAGATCTGCTCTTACAGAAATCTTGTCAGTGTTAAAAATCAGTAAGAGCTGACTCCAATAAATGCTATTAGTTTCTCAATAATGCCAAAGTCAATAGCTGCTCTTGTAACAGTGTTACAGTTTAAGCACTGCTGCAGGCCTGTGCTAGTCTTGAACACGGGATCAAAGAGATAAAAGCACAGTGACTGCATTTCTTTCCCTTTATATTCTGCCACTCTAAGGATCTTTACATGAGTTTGATTCTCAGTGACATTTTGTCATTGATCTTTTTTAACATCTCTTTTGCATCAGTTTTTTTCAGGAACCCCCTTCAAGGAAGATGACATCTGAACAAGTTACAAGCATGTGTGCCTACTGTCTGTGAGACTATAAGAAGTTTACCCACCCCCTCTACTAAAGTGGTGTGCTGAAAGAAAGATCTCTGTATCCTGTTACTTGAATATTTCTGTGTCATCAAGTATGAAAGACAAATTATTTCAAATAAAATATAACAAAAGACAACATGCTAAGTCAGTGACAAAACTAACATATCAAAACAAACATTGATCTAAATAGACCAGA